GGAGTCGACAATGTAAGGTTGACTTATATTTTATCTCTTATATACTTCTAAAGGTTCTTAGAAATGAATTGAAGCTTTGTATCTTCAAGAAACTCAGAGTATTGATATGGGGCCCTTAAATTTTTAATTTTTTGTCTCTGAAGCATTATATACCAGATTCTTTTAGAATGGAGACTTCTTGAACATAGGATTATCCTTTTGATTGTTGATTTGTTAAGATTGTACTAGCTAATAAGCTCCTTTATCGGTCTCATATCGATTTTTGCCTTCTTATATAATAAAAGGGAAGCTATCAAAACTAGAAAAAAATCCAAAGAAGAGGGTCCTATCCTGGCAAGCAAGAGCACGAGAATCTTAAAACTTGAGTAGAGGATAAAAAAGCTGGAGGAGATGCGGATAATTTTGAAAGATAATTCTTAAAAACAACAATTTCTACATCTCTGCAGTTATTGATTGGGATGGTAATTTTACTAAAGGATAAGAACACATGTAGAAGTTATGAGTTCTAACTTGTTTCATTTACAAATACTCAAAAACAAGAACTTGTTCCAGCTTCCTGCTACACTCCAAACTTCGCATCTTTGACAATCCAAGACCAAGTTTTTTAACTCCTCTTATCCTTCCAAATTATTTCCTGGCAGCTTTTACTTCGCCTCGCTCCTAAGCCACATGGAGCTCTTTTCTGAATCCAATGTTTAAGAGTTCACTAGCTCATCTTTATGAAGCTAACATGAGAGCTGATTAAAACTATAGTCTCTATTTCATCACCAAGAGAAACATAAAAGAGCTAGAGCAGCCAACACATGGCTTAAGCAACCTCTGAATAAGAGCAAACAGGGCTGTGTGAAAGGCTACCTTGTTTTTTCTAAACCCTCAAAGATAAATTTTATTCCCAGAGCAAACCTTGAGCCTCAAACCAAAATATGTTTCCTAATCAACCGTGGTCAGAGTAGCCTTTGTTAGCCTCGGAAAGAAGATCCTGGTTGAAGTATGCAAAATTCTGTGAGATTGTTATATAACTTATAGCATGTTTATATTATCCTCAGTTTGTAGAATTAGAAGTATTTTGAGTCTATGTTAAAATTAAGGAAACCCAATTAACAAGTTTTAATACATAAATCAATCAATCTTGTTTTACAAAGTGTTCTGTTAATGCCTTCGTATAATTCTCTCTGTTACTTCATGTCCTGTTCTTCATGATTTTGGTTTTGCTCTTTCGTTTCTTGTCTAGATGGTTCTCTCCTCCCAAAGCTTAGGATGGTGGAGAGATCAGCTTCAAGCTTCTTTGGTTTCTTCCTTGAGGCACTGGGTATAGAATATTTTTTGATCAAATATTATTAGGGAACTTTTCAGTTCTGGAATTACTCCAATCATATCTTTATGGTGGTCTTAAATATCTAGTGCACTTTAACCCACACTTAAACCTACTAGCTCCCTTTCTTCTACTTTTTTTAGTGTGCTTAATATTCTGTCGAGAAACTCTTTTTCAGATTTTACTGGGTTTGAAATCAGGGAAGTATCTGAGTAAATTGTCATTTTTTGATAAGTGACCATACATGCTTAACTCTAAGTTTTAGATAACTTAGGATCTCAAAGTGGGTCACTTTAGAGTTTGTGAGGAACCTACAATGTCACCACCTGGGAGGAAGAATTAAATCAAAGATAATGGTCTACTTCTTCACGCCAGTTAAGATTTTTTCATGAAAATAATAGGGCACCTAGAATAAGATAAAAGGAAAATAACTACATAAAAAGAATTTGTTAGAATTCTTAGGATCAACAGCTAGCCTCCTCCAAAGGTCTGACTTAAATCTAAACTCATTCTCTAGCCCTTTAGGATGGGAGTAATCCTGCTCCATATACTAATTTTATGATAAAGTATAAAAATTCTAGCTTATTTCTTATTTTTTTAAATTTCATCAGTAATCTTCATTGTTGAGAATCTGAAGTTTGTTCAGTAATCTTCCTTCTTATTTTAATTGTCTACCAAGCTGGAAGTTTCTTTGTTGGAATAATATAGATTGTTCATATGCACAATCAAAACACCTTCTAAGTTTGAGCTAGCCTGCCCTCCACTGGCTTAGACAAAATTTCTGGTATGCCTCCTCGCTGTTGAGTAGAGATCCCTGAAATTCTTTAAAATCTATTAATAAATCGCCTCTATAGTTTGATTTCCTTAAGTGAGTCTCTCTCCTTCGAGGCTTGACAGAGAGTGAGTCTGACACATAGCATCTAAGTGCATATATAGATTACCTTAGCAGCAAATAGAGGAGAATCTTAAGATTCTCATTAGCTTAATTCTTAAGTTGTTGCACAGAATTGACTTTACTTAGTCTTGATTTGAAATGTTCATAATATTTAACAACTTTCAGGAAAATCGAAACTATTTTCAAAGTTCTCTTTTAATTTCTAGTTTCCTTGCCTAGCTTCTCATGGCTCCCTCATCCATTTGACCATGATCACAAAGTTGGGTGTTGACTTGGAAGCTTGTAGTTTACCTACTATCCTCCAATTAACTAGATCTGCTGAGAAGTTGTAAAATCAAATAATTAACGATTGACCTTGTGTATAAAAGCGATGTTTAAAATTAAAAATAGAAAGCAAAATGCTTTCATGATTGTATAAAGAAAACTCAGATGAACAGAAAGTGATTTTCAATGATTAGCGGACCTAATGAAGGGCTTGAAGATATAATTGAATCCCTTCTTTGCTCACTGATGAAGAGCAAAGTAATTGAGGTGGTTCTAAAAACAAAGGAGCATCAACAGCCTCATCTTTTGTTTGATCTCAGTAAAAGTCTATTCAAGAGTTGAATCAAAGAAAGATGCTGATAGAAGTAGGGGCTTTCACTCTAGAGATTTGTGATTATTTAAAACAAAAAAGTCTACTACTTTTCCCTTCGGAAAAGTTTCAGCTATGGAGATTACATTAAGAATTTAAGACTAAACTGTAAAGAGATATTAATATCAGGAAGTGCCATTTAGAGAACTTTAAGAAAAATTATAAATGCTTTTAAGCCTGATGAAATTTCAAAACTTATAAATAAAAAGATTATATTCTAAATTAATCCAATCTAAAGGCTTTACCAGTTTTGTAAAGAATCAAATCTTTGAAACTAATGAGCCTTTGACTGAGAGTAAGCAGCAATTTATTTATGCAACTACCAAATAAGACATATCTAAATAAATACTATGAAAGATATTTAACCAAAAACTTAGTCTGAATTGAAAAAGAGTATCAAAGCAACCTTTAATATTCAACTCTCGCTGAAATGAACTCTAGGAAATTTTGCTCAGCTTTAGAATATTAGACTGCCTTCCTCATTAAAGTTGCTGGTGAGTGTAAATGAAAGCTGTATCAATAAGAGTATAAATATTAGCTATTCTTGAGGAAAGAGAGATCAGCAAGAGTCAAAAAATAAAATAGAATTTCCATTAAAATGAATTAAATCTTCGCAATTATCACAGCCAGGACTTCTTTCACAAGGATAGCCGAGATGAGCACAAAATCCACGAGATTTATAAAGTTAATTAACTAATTGGTTGGTAGCTTGATAGTTAACTTTGTAGTTAAATTTTATAAAGTCTTGATCTTTGTAAGAGACATAAGAATTCACCACAAAGAGGAGGTTATGAAGTTAATTGAAAATAGAGGTTCCCTATTTGTATTCTTTTCTAAAGTACCATCCTCAATTGATCTTAACCCTTAGAAATTTCCCTATTCTCGGGAAGACCTCCAAGAAGATCAACAGTGGACGCTAGGTTTATCTTTCAGACCGTAAACAGAAAGAATGTGGAGAAGATGCTTTAAAACAAATAAGACCAGAGGGCATTAAAGAAGTACAGGAAGAGTTTATCAACTTTATACAACAGTGAGGTATTTGTAAATACCTATATACATATAAACAAAGGACAAGAAATAAAATTGTATGGTGTAAAGAGTTTTATTTACAAGTAATTATTCAATTAGAGAGTATCCAAAATAAATTTATCGAAGATGATAAAGAAGATCTAATCCTCCAAGAGTAAGCTGAGGCTATAAAAATATGTTGGTAGGAAAATCCATAAAGTTTAAACCAAATTTCAACAAATATATTTAACACATCATATTTCTAATTTAAACGAAACTTCAAACGAATAACGATCACCAGCAGATCCGAACTGGGAGAATATAACATTAGTTCCTGATAATTCCGAAAGCTTGCAAATCATAAAACCTGTGGTCTAGTGAATCACTAAACTAGAAACTGGTTGGAATTTCTATCGAGAAATTGGCATATTTTCATACTCTTACTAATTGAGAATTGGAAGGATTGAGATTCTTAAGTTTAAAATATATGTAAACGAGAACCAATAAGTTTTAAATAATTGTTAGAATTCTCTTTTTATTAATTATTGTTAAGTTTCTTTTAACAATAGTAAATTTTAGGTATAAAACTTTAAAGTTACAAACTTACTTCCGGCTAGTATTGGCATTACTTTTCTCGGAGTTAAAATTTATTAATTATTATGTTCTTTATTTTGGTGCTTCCTGTTTTCGCTTCTTTTCTGCATTTCCCACTGTTTATGCTTTTCTTGTTGTTTTTGAAGCTTTTTGTAATATCCAGTAAAAGTTGAAGCTTTGTACACTATTTATTAAGCAAATGCATTGATTAAGCAATTAATAATGCAATAAGATTCGAACTCAAACACTTGAATTATTCAGAAGTCTTTAGAAAAAGAGTAACCTACTAAATATTTTCTCACCATCAGAATGTAATACGAGAGACACTCAGAGGAATGAGCTTTGATGACAAAACATCATATTTAAATTTAGTAACATCTGAGCTTATTTTTGTGTTGGCTCCACCTAGATTAGCCTCTAACTTTCAAACTATTAACTTTATTCTTTATTTCTAAACAATGAACTATGTGCAACATCTTTTTGCTCTTACTATGTCCCTTGTCCTTTGAAAAATTATTTATTAAAGATAAATTTGAGAATTCTTGCTTGATTTTCGTCTTCAACTGTAATCTGAGGCAGCAAAGAGGATATTTTTATTTTATAATTCGTCCCACTCGTAGATAAACTCAGATCTGATGTCTTTTCGTTATTATTCAGGCATGAACTGTATTCTATTTATCGTTATATCAGCTTATCGTTCTGGAGAAACCCTCCTCTGGTGTCATCTTGGAGTGGTATCCTAGGTTTTACCAGATTCATTACTTTTAAGTTATTTTCTAGGTCATGAGGAATTTACTGATATTGTTCCGATCTCTTTTCCTTCTTTTTGCATTTATTTAGTTCTGGTGTATTGTACATTGATCTTATCCTTCGAAGTATTTATATGGGCAAATGAATTCATTGTTAGCTCTATGAAAATATTTTTTTGTTTTATTTTAGATCATAAAATAACTGGAAATAGAACGTTTACTTTTTGATTTAGGAAGTAATCTTCCTATTTGAGAATTAGAATTTGTATCAAATATTAAGTCATTAGGCTTCATTTTTGAAGATTTATTTTTACAACTTCATCTTCTTGTCATAAAGTTTTTTTGAAAAATTGTCTTTTTTTGCACTATCTGAAGCTGAAGTTGCCTTGAAAGGAGTGATCGGACTATTTTTTAATTTTTAAATAAATTGGAGTTATTTCTTTCGAATTTTTGTAACTAATGATATATATTTGAGAGGCTTTATTGAGGCGTCTCTCAAAGTCGCCCAAATGCTTTTTATCTTCATCTTGTTTAAATTCCTACAAGTTTGATAGATGGATCTTACTTTCGGGATAACTGGCTCTGGTAAAGTTTGCTTTAGTCTCTCATAACTTGTTTTAAAACCAAAATTGAATCGGTAAATGTAATGGTTAAGCTTTACATAAATTAATAAAAAAAACTAAGATAGTTACTTTAACGAGTTTCTGGCGTTATGAATCTTTTGTGCTATTTCTTTCATGTTTACATTTCTCTAAATTTCCAAGTTTTATCTCAAAGTAGTTTTAGTTATTAAAATAAAGGAACTCCTGATGTACTTACTTTTCTTCAACTTTTTCGAAACATGAATTCCGTAAGCATCTATCATTCTGAGCTTCAGTTTACTTTTTTATGCTAGCTTTTGATTTCATTATTCTCTCACCTGATTGCGTCATTATCCATATTTCCCTTATGTCTCCAGCACTATTAGTGGAGTTTATTTTTATTGATTGTATCACCTTCAGCTTTCTCACAAAATTTTTAGGAAGAGTAAAAGGTTGATTCAATAATCGAAAGTGAGCAATTGGAAGCTTAATAATCTTATTTTTGGATGCATGCAGCTGGTTAGAACTAACTTTTGACTGGCTTTTCTTATCAGTTGTTGGCTGAAGCATTCTCTTTGAATGGTTAGAGTAGATGGGGTGACCTTTGAGAAGATTAGCATTGAGAAGAATAAGTGAATATAGGAAAGTAGAAGCTGAATTTAACAAAATTTATCTGCTCAGATCGATAAATTCTATATGACAAACAGTATCAAAATATGCATCCAAAATATATTTTATTTAAATGAAGTTCTTCTTATTAAGCATTTTAGATAATAAGAGATCTTAAATACTTTGAAATGCTTGCTTACTCTTTAATTTGGAATCCATTAAATTTATAATTTCAATAAAAGTCATGAACAATGGGGTTTTGGGGTTTTGGGGTTTTGGGG